AGTCCTCACCAGGCCCTTCTCTTTCTCCACCCAGGAGTGCCACCAGGGCACCACCCTCTGCCCCCACAGATCCTCTTGATCAGAACCCAGGGAAGTGTCTATCAAAATCAGGAAGGGCTGTGCCCCTCAGGGTTAAAGTTGCAGCCTCTCTGGTCTCATAAATTTCAGGTATTGATCTCATCTTTAACTTCACTATATTCTTCTTCACTCAATGTGTTCCTCTCACATAATTTAGTTCTTCCTTTGTTTCATTATTATGTTGTTGTAAGCTGCGTCAAAATATTTAGAAAGTGACATGTGGGTAGCTGTCAAAATACATAAACACGTAGCTCTACAAGCATATTTTGAGCACCTACTAAATTTTGCTGTGGATCAAGTGGCTTATCCAGAGCCAAACCATTAAGAGGGGTGAGGTCAGGTCATGTACAGACACCAGCTCCTCCAACAGCCCCCAGTACCCAGCTCTCTTGTGAATAGTCTGCTGAATGGTTCTGCTGCACATTTTCCAATCACAACTCTGGACAGCTATTTCCCAGCCTGAGGAAGTTACCCCTGAGTAGAATCTTCCAGAAGACCAGAGGAGGAGAACTCTGTGTGAGTGTGTGTGTGTGTGTGTGTGTGTGTGTGTGCACGCGCGCATGTGTGTGTGTGCATTTATGTTTGCAACAAAATTTTCTTCAAATAACTATGATTATTTCTCTCTATGTACCTTGATCAGTTCCAATCCCCCAGCCGTACCCTCTTCTGTCCATTTTTTGATGGTGATCTCTTTCCTTAGAAATCAGCGAGAATGGGCAATAGAGCTAGACTGGGCCAGCAGGAAACCTGAGGGTCCTGGATGGTCCTGCTGGGAGGCAGGGGAGTGGAGGTCTGGCGCTGTGGGAAAAGGAAAGGGTGCTCCTTGGGTGCCAGGGCGGGAGCCACCTGCTGTGGGGTCCTGGGAGGGGTGGTTCAGGATGCAAGAAGCAAGCCTGATCTCCTCTCTGCCCCGATGCAGCCCCTGTCTGCCAGTCAGCTGCTTTCTCCCTGGACGGCAGTAAACCTGGCAGATTGCACATCATCACAGGCCTCCTTCACCAGGTGCGGGGAGGAAGCATCCTCAGACTTTAGTGGGTCACAATCCAGGAGCAGAAAGCTCATCTCGGGTCTGTTCCTTTTCTGCCCCTAGATGCTCCCAGCTCTTGATGCAGTGTGGGGAAGGTGCAGGGACCAGGCTGCGGGCACCCTTTCCCACCCCGCCCCCCCAGTTAGCCAAGATGAGAGAGTGACTTTAAGGACTGCAGATAAGTGCCTCCCCCAGCATCCCGGCCAGCCTCATGGATGCCACAGCGGTCTTTGTGCGAGGCGGGCTATTACTAACCAGGATAACTAAATCATTCATTT